AGGGAGAGAGGGAGAGGGAGAGAGAAAGAGAGAGAGAGAGAGGATCCCAAGCAGGTTCCACGCCCAGCACGGAGCCCGACACGGGGCTCAATAAGATCATGACCTGAGCCGAGATCGAGAGTTGGATTCTTAACTGACGGAGACACCCCTATGCCCCCAGAATTTCATCATTAAGCAGAATGCTTCCTGGAGATGTTTTATCGACTACCTTTAATTAGGTTAAGGAAATTCCCTTGTAAGTGCTATATTTTGCTGATTTTTTTTCTCTTCCATCTATTAAAGATGATCATATAGCCTTTCTTCGTTACTGCATTGAGGTGGTAAATTGTATTAATACAGTTTTCTGTTGCTCAGTCAATCCTCTTTCCCTAAAATAAACTCTAACTGGCCATGACTTTTTAAAATAGAGCTGTGTTAGACTTGCTAGTATTTGGTTGAGATCTTTTGAATCAATAACGTAACTGTGACTGGTCTGCAAGTTTCTGTTCTTATACTTTCCTTTTCCAATCTCTAGCAAGATTCTCCTGCCCTCACGAAAGCATGCACGATGGCTTCCCTCGTTTTCTATTCTTTAAACTAGTCTGTGGTTTATGTAAACCCACCTGAGCCGTCAATGTGGGGAAGGCAAACTTTTTATTGCCCAGACGGTCTTTCATGGCTTGTATTTATTCATATTTTTAATTTCTGGAGTGATTCTGGTAATTTCCATGTTCCTAAAAAACCATTCCATGTAAGTCGCATTTATTTGCATAAAAGTGTACTCACAATTTTCTTATGGTCATTACAAGCTCTACTGTGTTAATAATAATGGCTGTGCTATTTTCCCCAATACTATTTTATCATGGTTTTTCTTTATTTTGGTTAATGAGTATTCTTGGAGATTTCTATTTTTTGAAGATCAAGTTTTACATGATCCTATTTTGTTGAGTGTGTGTCTTTCTAGTTCATTAAATTTTTCTTTTTCCTGCATTATGTCCTTCCTCCCGCTGTTGAGGTTTTTTTTACCCTGTCTTCTTCCACCTTCCAAGGTCACAGAGTGGGCCGGGTTAGCCTATGCAACAAACAGGTGGCTTCAAATCCAGTCAAATTCTCTAGACGGAGAGACAAAGGCAGTTCTGTGCTCAGCCAAGAGCAGGGCGGGGTGACGTGGGGAGAGGTGGCCTTAGGTTTCGGAATGACTGGCTGTTTAACTCGGGGAAGGAGCCGCGGGCACAGGTCTTCATCCTCTGCCAAGGTACACACCGAGCGCCGGGCCCCGGGGGAGACAGGGCCACCCTGGGGGTTGCTCTGACCCCAGTCTCTCCAGCAGACCCAGCGTCTGAAAGTGTGCCGGCCCCCTCGCACACCTGTGGGGCCGGGGAGACAAAGCAGGAGAAGCTGTGTGAGGGTCAGGCTCAGACAGCAAAGCCCCGATGTTTCGGAAACCCTGACATAGATGAAAACAGATCCGGTCACTTCCCAGCCCCTTTGCTCTCTGCTTGTGTATGGAGTATGTGTGTGGGGGGGGGGGGAGAGGTTAACACACAGGCCACTGGGAGGAAGGCTGTCAACAGCAGGTGACCCCAAACAGGCCCTGAACACACATTTGTCCCCTTGCTCTCACCCACAGAGACCACACTTCCACGATTTCATTCCAAAGGGAAAAAAGGGTGGGTCTATTTGTCCCCGTGGGAGCCACAGAGCCCAGATGGTTAGTGTCAGACTCTCAGAAGGGCCTATTTCTTTTATAAATGTTTATATTCATTTTTGAGACAGACACAGAGAGAGAGAGAATCCCAAGCGGGCTCTGAGGTGTCATCTCAGAGCCCAATCCAGGGCTCAATCTCAGGAACCATGAGGTCATGACCTGAGCCGAATCCAAGGGTCGGACGCTTAACCGACTGAGCCACCCAGGCGCCCCCCCAACAAGAGCCTATTGAAAAGTAGATGCCTTGGCCCTGCCCACCCGAGTAAGTCTGAGTGACGTCTGAGAATCTGATTTCAGAAGCTCCCTCTTCCCCAAGTGATGCTGATGCAGGCTGTTCTCAGGTCTCGTTTTAGGAAAGTTTGCAGAAGACCGAGCGACAATGGTCCTCTACTATGGATTTGTAACTAGACTCATCTGAGGAGCTCTGGAATTATACATGGAATTCTGATACGGACCACAGGGCACAGAGGCTAAAAACCACTTCTCTAGAGGACTGTGGTTTCCCATTCCCCCTCCACCTCAACCCGAGTCCCCGTGTCCATCACGTAAGGACCCCGCCTGTGCCGTGTTCCTCACGCTCTGGCCAAGGTGAGAAGCCCGACACTTAGAGGGTCAAGTGCGAGGCTTTGGAATAAGGCTCCAACGCATCTGGGCCCTGTGGATCGAGATCCGGTCCACACCTCAGATCAGGACTCACAACAAGAGGTGGGTGGGCCTTGCAACCGATCGTTGTCCCTCTACCTTCAGAGCATGAGGAACATTTACAGGCCAAACTAGGTGGGTGCACCCTTCACCCCCAGGCACTTCCTCTCTGGCCACCCACGGAGATCAGCCTCCCGTGGCCATGTTCATGGTGCGTTTCGCTACGGAGTTCTAGGAAGGTTGGACAGACCATGGGGTAGAACGGGTATTAGAAATGGAACAGAAGAAAAAATTGAAAAGACAGAAGAAGAAAAAAAAAGAAGCTAAAGACCTCTCGTATAATGTTCATTTAATTAAAACACACTCTTAGTACTCCTCCAAACAGTGATAACGGCATAACATTCCACCTAATCAACTAATTTCTGGTCAGTCCTAATAGCTAGAGAGCTTAGTCTACAGAGGTCTTTTAAAGCGGAAGAGAACCAAATCCTAAGACATTTGAAAACCTCTACAGGACTCATCTGAAATTAAGCTTCTTAAAAATCTAGTTGGCAGGAGATTTGAATAAGCCCCATTAATCACCATGGGTTTGTCTCGCTTTGAAATTACGAGTCTAAAACAGCCCCCTCGCCTCCCACAGGTTCTCGTATTCCGTACTGCATTGCGAAAGGGAGCATGTTCTAAGACAAAATATTTATCCTCGCTGTGACGCCAGAAGCTCGAGCCGATCTGATCTCCCACACTCCCCGTGGAGTCCTCTAGACGCTCCGGAAAGGCAAGGGTTCCAGAGGTGAGAGCGCACACACGCCCGGGGCGGGCGGAGGCCACGCACGAACACACACTCTTCAAGCACCAAACACTCCAGGCTCAGCACCGGCTATAGGAAGGGCCGCCCGGATGCACACGAGTGCTCTCCTCCCGAGCCGGGGGGACCTCAGGGTTCCCCTGGCCGCCTTCAGCAAGCACGCCGTCTGATGGAACCCAACTATTCTTTCATTCAGAGGGCGTCATCTGCCCTTTACTGCCTCCGGTTTTACAGACACTAAATGGTAACTGAACGCTTCTTCAGGAGTCAAGAGCCGTTGCAAGCTGAGAAAATAACAGCCCTGGACGAAGCCATCTGAACTTCATCAAGCGTCCGAGAGCACTCGAGCCATCAACCTCCTGCCCACCGTTCGGGCGGAGGCAGCTCAGAGGCAGAAAAGCACAGGACTTGAAATGATCCTTCTTCCTGATGCCACGGAAGACGCTGTCCTCTCGGGGTAGAAGCCCACGCCGCTTACGAGACACTAAGAACCACGTGTTCCATTTCTCATTCCTGGTCTGTCCCCCTGGGACATGAGGAACCCACTGATAGGCTCAACTCCACCACCTCTGCTCCCAAGGGCGGCCACCTTCCTCCCTGATACGTGAACTCCGGTTTCCAAGCTGCCAAGGGTTTAGTTTTTATCTTCACTGCTCTGCGAAGAGATGTGTTTCTATTTTTATCTGCTCCCCACAGTCTCGAAGCGGCTAATCCTTAGGAGTACGCCCTCTTAGGGATTCTTCGGGCAGTTGGCTTTCTTTTCTTCCCTGTGTCTTTCTCTTTCAGCCGTCGCTGCAACACTCGGGCCAAATAATGGACTTCGGGTGGCCACTGAGCCGCGGTCTGACCTCTGAAACTTGGCAGGAGAAAGCTACGTCCTGTCAAGGGTGCCATCTGAAGGGACCGCCCTTTTCAAAGATACTGTTAACTGCTCTACGCTGCTGACTGTTGGAACAAAGATCGACTGTTCGGATAACGATGCTAGGAATCAGAGGTTGTAGTGGATCCATTCTCTCACAAAGCCCAAGGCAGACAGCTCAGTCAGGCCACTGGACAAGCCTAAGAACGTAACCCCGACGTAGCAGGTTCCCTATTCTATTTGCTCCCTTGGTCCTGGCCTATCAGCGTTCCATGCAGAGAACAGAACGGAACACCCAGCGTCTGTCTGTCCCGGCATGGCTTGTTCACATTTTTTCCAACCAACGTCCGGATGATTTGTTTGCTCGTGTCAAATGTTAACAGCAATTTCTGGAATCTTGGGGGAAAAAACATCAGCTTCTAGTTGGTGACACAATGGTATGCTATGGTGAAGAATGATAAGGTTATTTGACCTACCTGGGCACTGACAGTTACTACGTGGATGCAGCAGCCTCAGTCCTGCTGAGGCTACCGATCCGGGGGATGTCTTCTCGGCACACCTGAAGGAGGGGGTACATGCTTCCTGGAAATGCAAAGATCGCCCTCTCTTGCTCCTTTCAGACAGATTTTGTTTGGGATGAATTGCCAAGTCCTTGAGGCAAGTCCCGATTGGCCCAGGACAAACTCGTTTTTCCCCGCCTCGGTCATGGTCACAAACAGCCGTGACTTAGTTCTGGCCCACGGACTGTAACAGAAGGTCCGCTGGGCAGACTTCCAGAAAAGTAATAAGCTGCTGAAGGAAAGACCACTTCTGACCCCTTTATTTCCTGCCTTCAAAGTGATCACGATGCATGGAGCTATGGCAGCCTTTTTATAATCAGAAGGCAAAAAGGATGGGGCTGAAAAAATACTGAATACGGTGGTGAGGAAATCAGAAAGTTCTCAGTCCGCCCGAAGCCTTAGAGGGTCACCCCCACACTTCTTAATTTAATAAGCTGTCTTTTTTGCTTAAAGTACCCTAACTGATATGACACGATACATAACAAGCAGAAGGGCTTTGGGCTTCTTGGTGACAACACTAACAGAAAACAATGAAACAACATACACAGAGCTTTAAAATAAGACGTCCCACTAGAATTCTGTGCATCGTGAATTTACCATTCGAATACAAACGGAGTGGAAAGTAATTCTCGGGTGAGCAAGCCCACAAAGCATTTCAGTTATCTGAGCTGCCTGAAAACATATTTGAAGATCTACTTTAAAATAAATAAATAAAAAATAAATACATAAAACCAAGACTCCACTTACGGCCTGATATGGTAGGATGCATGAAAACTACGTCAGCATTAGCGTCTAACAGGCTTACATAAATATGGTTATGCAAATAAAAATTGCTTAAAAGATCATTATATCAAAGAGAATTTTATTAAGTGATTATACAAAATCATGTTGACCATAATCTGTGTCGAATTCCAGATAAATCAAGCCAATCAGAAAATGAGTGGGAAAAAGTAAAAGCATATTAGTTCCTGACCTGAAGATACATATGGTTTCATTCTTGGCAATAAACCAAAGCTCCTTCAATTTCAGTGGTTTCGTTGAACTTTTTTTTTTTTTAATTTTTTTTTTTTTTTTAACGTTTATTTATTTTTGGGAGAGAGAGAGACAGAGCATGAACGGGGGAAGGGCAGAGAGAGGGAGACACAGAATGAATGGCCAGGCTCCCAGCCATTTGGTGAGCTCTCCGACGCTGCCCGAATCCATGACCGCCAGACTGTAACGACCTACACCGGACGCCATGAACTTTTTTAAGTAGGCTGCACACCCATCGCAGAGCCTGAACTTCCACCTGAGATCAAGACCTGAGCTGAGATCAAGAGCTGGAGGCTGAACCGATTCAGCCACCCAGGCGCCCCGTTGAACTTTTATAAACACGTAAAGCGGCAACTAGTGGACTCCCATGTAGGAAACAACTTTCCACGTAGGAGGGAAAAACAACCGACAAAACAAAAAGACCAGCAAAGTCAAGCGTTTTCCACTGAATAGAAGAAAGAAAACGGTGACAAAAGCACGCATTGAAAAAAAAAAAAAACAGAAAAAACCAGAATGACATAAAACATCAGAGAACAGATCTACTGTGAAAATGGCAAAGTGTTCTATTAGACCATCAGGTTGGCCTAAAAATAAAAATACAGTGCTAGGGTTGCTTAGAAAAGACCAACCTTAATCAACCGGACACCGACACGGAAGGAAGGCAAAAATATATCAAGAATAAGCAAAATCAAGAGATTAACTTTATAAAAAAATAAAATGCGTGGCAAAACAGAAAAACATCAGGGAAACGCCAGAGGGTA